CTGCTCTTCTGGCCAAGAACATTTTCTCATTTTTAGTGAAGTTCTTTTCTTTTTTTCCTTATGTAGTGATTTTGGTTTTCCTTTGTTCTCCCTATTTGGTATGCACATGAAAGCGGATGGTCTGTCGTTCTCTGGGAGCAAATCCAGATGACCTAAAGGACCCAATTAAAATTAGTATTCCACGCTATGTCCTGTGTGGGCAGGGAAAGGATGAACACTATGAGTTTGAAATAAAGGTAAGTGCTTTTTAGTTGCTGCTTCTTAATATTTGGGTTCTCTGTACATATGTTGCTTGCATTTGTACAACAGTAACATCATAGTAGCATTAATAATAGAAAAATGCCTTTTGTTTATAAACCAAATAGTTCCTAGTTTGCTCTGTCCAGCCATTGGTGTTCACTGTGACAGCATCACAGTTAGCAAAGATGGAAACGGCAACTCGAAACGCACCTCCAAATCTGCAGATTCCAGAAGTCGCCTTACTAACCCCATGAAATACAGGTTTTTGTTTCCACTAACTGCAGGTTTTGGTTCTGTCTCTTTCTGTTGTCTAAGTGGCCTCACTACTGCTAAATAAGAGAGGCTGTGAGAAGGCACGCACAATACAGGACACTATAAAGACAGGTATTTTCCAAGTGGATCAATTGTATGCAGGACATTGATGGTCAGACTCTTGGGGTGAGCAGTTCCAGATCCAATGTCAAATAATTCACTTGAAGGTCTTGCAGAGATGAGGATTAAATGCATATTGGTTATAGGAAAGCCCTTTACTGAGATGCAAGTGTCAGGTATAGAAAATGTTTAGACTTGAAATATTTAACTGTAATAATGAAAGCATAATTGAAGTATTTTGCACATATCCACAACAAAGGCTTGTTTCTTTTCTGGCTCTCTTTTTTGTTCTGATTCTTCCCACCCTGCTTTTCCAAGGTCTTGCTTCTCCAAACTGTTATCTGCTTCCCCTCCATTCTAGTGGCTTCCTAAGCTGATTTTCTGTGCAGACATGCTGGAAAAAAATGCATATTCATTATGTTTCCTCTGGTACTAAGCCAGTGATTTTTTCAAAGCAAGATGTGAAGTCTAATTGGAAATGTGCTCTCAGTGCATGTGGACATGTAGCATAACTGATGTACATGGCATCAGAGACAGAATTGGCAGCCTTCTTCACTGAATGTACTGCCAGATGCTTCATTAGCTGCTTTAAGTTGGAGGAATGACCTGCCCTCACGGTGTGCAGAACCATTTTTGAACTATGCTCACATACTCTTTTGCAAAGGCTTTTACTAAGATGGGCAATCTTAGCTCTGTTTTAGCTAATTAAATTTTCATCTCAAAACATACTGCACAATTTGTGGATGCTTTTGCCTTTTGAACTTTGGATTTCCTGGGGCCAGTGAAAGCCCAGAGCCAAAGAGATGCTGAGAGAAGAGCAAGTGCATACAAAACTTCCCCAAGGACTGTTCTAGCCGCCAACTATTTTCAGCACACAAGATTTACTGAACTGTGTAATGGTTAGTGAAGGTAAATATAGTAAAAAGGTATTTTCTCTTTTTAGTAAGTTGGTGGATTTCTTTTCCACATATTCTCCCTTCATCCTTAAAACCCATGTAAGCATCTGCAAGATCTTAGGATGAAGGGGCAGTTAAAGAGTACGCGTGAGAAGACTTGGACTTACCTGGAAGGAAATGTAATAGCAGAAAAATGTTGGAAAGGGGTGGAATTTGTAACCAGGAAAGAACAGTGCACTCTGGCTAAGAGTGGTGTATATGGAATGGCTATTCTCTTCTGTCGTCCTTGCTAGGACCATCTTTTCTCTCTCCTGTGGTATTTCTAGGCTGCCTCTGAAAGAAACTGCTGCTTGAATAACTGGTTTGATGAAGTTCAGAGCAAAGAAATGGATGACATATGGGGTAGGGAATGGACTATCGCTTTAATAATTATATTCCATTGCTGTCAACTTCCTTAGAACACTAAATATTTCTGTTGAAGTTCCTATGGACCTTAGTTTGGCAGTCTTTGGGATATTTCTTGTAGTCATTCCCTTACACAAATCAATCAACTTTTATGCTTTTTCTTTGCTTCTAGGTCTCTCTATGTCACAGTAGGCTGCTTTTGCTGTGGTCAGGATTTGGCTCCAAGCTACAATCCACAGACCTTCCACAAACTTTTGTATTTTAAACCTTTCCCATTGCAGACCTTCCAGCTCTACTTTGATCTGTATTAATCTTCAGCTGCTGTTACTTTTATTCTGTGGGAAATCAGAATACATGGTATAGTGATTTTTTTTTTTTTTTTCCCCCTTAAAAATCAGGAAAGTAGGAAGACAGGGCAGGGAGGAGGTAACGTGTATCTGTTTTTCACCCCTTCTTGATGGGTCAGGATACAATGTCAGTTGTTGAAATAATTCCTTATTTCAGCCTTACTTTGCTCAAGTTTATTTTCATGTGATCTCATATCAGAATATGTGTCAGTCTTGGGGAAGGGCTGGGACGTTGTTAATCCCATTTCCTTTGGTAGTTCCCAAATAAGCTTTCTTCACCAAGGTTCCTCTTGGTCTTGGGTAAATGGGTAGCTGACCTATCTGCATGTAACAGCACTTGGAAATCTGACAAAAGAACAAGGGATGATTGAGTTGCATTGTAAGACAGTCCCCAAACCTTTGAATCCTAGGTATGTCAGAAGTGTTTTGTTCAGCAGATGGTTCTACTTGTGTTTGTAGTTAAATCCTGGCATACTGCTCTATAGAGGAACAAATATAATAAATTTCTGTATGTAACAAATATATTAATTTCTACTTGTGACATGCAATAATAAAGATATATTTCCTTTATATGCCAAAAGAGAGAGAGTGAGTTCTGCTTTTCTTGGCAGCATCACAGTCAGTTCATAAGTCTTTCAACTCTAACATATCATCCAAAAATATTTTTCTTTTAGTGCAGGTTCAGCATCTTGTCCATCTAGCCATATATAACCTTTGGGAATGGGCCAGCAAGATGGTCTGTCCACTCAGATTCTTCCACTGGATACAGATCCTACTTTAAGATGTTGAGTGACTCCCATGAGAACCTATTGGAGAGAGTTCAAAATAGAAACAAAACCATACTTTATTAGAGTTAAGATAGAACCTTCTCCTTTTGCAGCAAGAGATGTCACAGAGCTGTTTGTGTTGGTCTGCTATTAAGTATTCAGTATGAATAGTTACTTTTCCAAAAACCCTTCCATTTCAGTGACAGTTTTATATGTTGTCTTTAAAGACATGATGAAACAGTAGTAACTTAATCAGGTCTGAACATATTTCTCTTAGAGCTGAATTAGAGTACCAGAAAACTGTTCTTGTATTCTCATCTTCCTTTCATGTTGTTGTGGTGCGGAGACTTGTTCAGGCAAGGCTGTGCTAGAAACAGCGTGTGGGAAGAGCTTTTACATCGATAAGACTGTTGGCATCTGTTACAGACAGTGCCTGTGGTTGCAGACAGTACCTATGGATGGCAGAAGGAGCAGCGAGGCAGCAGGGAAGGGGGAACTTCAGCTCACATAAAGGCACACAAGGTCTCCCAAGGGCAGGTGATAGAAGCAAAGCCTGGAATCCAGCACAGCCCTGCAAGGGATCCTCTGACAAGAGCGAAAGTTGTAGATAAACCTTCTCATTTTTATTCAGCTTTCCCTAGTTGTTCTTGTGTCTCTCATTTTATTTATCCTGTTTGATAGTCTTTCAAAACTGGCTTTTTCTTGTGTTTCAAAGCCTTTCAGTCATCTCTGACACGTTCTGTATAGGAGAAGATCCAGGCATATGCACCCCAAAGCAGTGCTTTTCTCCAGCACTGGTCACAGTTCTGTTCAGCCAAATGCTGTGGTGGGTCTGCTCAATATGTCCATGTTTCTGGTCAAAGTTTCTTTCTGAGCTCAGTGACCTATTGCAGAATTGGTGTAAAGCAGAAGCAGTGCTCATTGATACGTAGTTCTTAAAGAAAATGATGCATGCCCCATGTCTAACTAAATTAGAAAAAAGAAAAAGCCCAATCTTCCCTCAACTCTATCAGATTCGTAACCTCAATAATGAATAAAAAAGGGTTTGAAGAAATTTTTAAGGAAGTTTTAGCTTTCAGGTGCTGTATTCATAGACAGTGCAAGGAACAGTTTCAACAAGTTCCATTTGGAGAAATATGAATTTTCACAATTACTGTAGACAGTTTAACCAGCCTGGATAAGTAAGGTGGGCATGTTCTGTTATTTCTGGTTGCTTCAGAATCAGGTGGAATATTTCTCCCCCCCCCCACAATGCTTTTACTTCTATTTCTGTGGGGCAGAAAGGGAACAAATTCTGTGACATGCTTTACAGTGAAATAAGTTGAAAATATCTGTTAGGTTATTTTCTGTCAGTCATCATGCAGAAGAAAAGTTAAGGACACAGGACTGTAGTATCCCCTTTCAAATTTATAAGCTTTACATAGGAAATGGTGTGTTTGAATAAAAAAAAGTCACAATTCTGAGGCAAGTCTAGGATCACATAGGTGCCCAGACAAGAATATTTTGAAAATCTGTCTTACAGATTTATTCAACCATATCTATTTTTTTTTTTAAATTAAGAAAATACTTTAACTACTATATTAGCAAAGTACAAGTAAAAAGTAAAGGACTTTTCAAATTTGCTTTACTTGTACTGTTCAAAAGATCTGCATATGTCTCAGTTCCATGCGTACAGAGCCTATATAGTCTGTCATACAGCTTTTTTTTAAATGGGGGAAAAGAATCCTAGCCCAAACTGGTTGGATCAGCTGTAGAAGTAAAAGGCCCTGTTCTGGAAATGTTATTGCTATGCCAGGTGTGCTGTAATTCTCCTATTGATCCTAATAACATTATTGTTGAGCTTTAGGGACTGGTTAAGATTTTGTTTAGCTTTGAAATTCATTTCCCAATAATATTTGCAGTAACAACAATAAAATTTTGCAATGCATTACCCACTAGTCTCATTACAAGAATTAGGAAAGTAAACAAAGAGGATGACAAGGAACAGGTCAGGTCAAGCCAAGCCTCCAGGGAATGCTCTAGAGAAAATCCTTCAGTTCTTAGGCAGCACAGATATATCACTTTGCTGTTTTCCTTCCTGTCCATCTCTAACAAGTTGTTTATTAAACTTTGCAGAAGAAAGCTAATAAATAATTGGCTGCAGGCAATTTGATTTGGGTAAGTTTGGTGCCACCCTATCACCCAGACAGCTGTCAGATGCACAGCCAACAATGGCATGGCAAGCTAACATACATGCTCTTCCCCAGGCTGTGTAGCTGGAAGAGTCCTGGATGCTTTGTGCTAGGTTGCTTCCCTAAAGGCATGCTTCTTTGAAAACCCTAGGGGAAAAAGAGGTCACTGTTGAATTGACATCATGGACAAATGAAATTATCACAGCAAAATTTCACAAGAAAAATACAAGAAATATACAGAAAAATACAGAATTAAAGCAAAAAGAAAGCAGAAATAAGTAGCATCTTTATTTTATGATTATCCATTGCACTCTAATGTTCACTTGAACATTTAAATCACAAAGCCCTTTAAGCAATTATTCAGAACAAAATGGTTAATTGGTTAATCAACATCAGTGTAACATGCATATTTGAATAGATTTTTTTTTTTTTGTTAAACCTGCCTATGCATGCTAAATCCATTCACCTGATTTGTAAAGTTTGAGACACTGTTAACAACATATTGAGGGAGGGCAGCTGCGTGAATTTTTTTCAGTGGGGAAATACAGTCCATCATGCAGATGTCCTAGTAGCAGTCAAGCTTATTGGTGATGTGAAAGATGAATTTTATCAGAAATTATAAATTTGCATTGTGGAGATGTGCTAGAAGAACCTATGTTTTAATATTTGTGAAAAGTATCGAGAAGGTCAATTTTATTTACTTACATCTTTTAGTTAAAAATAGAGGTAAAAATAGGAAAAAAAACCCAACCCCAAAACCTGGTTCCTGATGTATTAAGACACACAATAATTTTTGGTTTCCAAAACACTTCCCCCAGTTTCTGTGTTCTGTATACACCAGCAAAGGCAGTGGGGATGGGGAAGGGTGGACCGGAGATGAGTTTGTTGGGAGCATGAGGTAGCAGCTGTCAACAGTGGTGCTTGGATGCTGGTTTCCTCTAGCTTTATTGCTCTGGTTTCTTTTTTCTTACTTAGCTATCCCACTCCGTTGTGATTTTCTGTCACTCTGTAACTTTCTGATACGCTCAGTAGTGAGGGATCTACTTGTTCGTTTTAGGAGTCACTTTAGGATTAAAAGCCAAGCCTATGTCTTTGTGAAATGCATTTTATGAAAATACTTATTTTTGATCTTCATGCATAAACTCATAGCTAGGCAGAGGTAATATCACATATTAGGGCCGTTAGATTAAAGAAGCAACAGTCTTTGCAGGTTTAGGCAATGCCAGTTGGCTTTCTCCAGCTCTACGAGTTGCTGTAGAAAGAATGCCCACTGTCCCTGAAGCATTGCTTCTTGGTAGCCTTGGATCACCAGAGCTACAGAAAGACTTCGCTGTAAAATCAAAGGCTCCAGTCACAGCACTTGACCCACTTACAAATTTCTTTCATTTCACCTGATTTCAGACAGTGAAAAATTTTCTTTCCCTGAAATTTTTGTTGTTTTTTCAGTTCCAACTGATGGTAAGGTTGGATTGCCCTCCCTCTTTGCTCCTGTTCCTATGCACTTTATTCACAGGAGTAATTCTGTTCATTTTAATGAAACTTCCTGTATAATTGGGATGTTCATCAACATACGGACGACAGAGGCACAGAGTGTTTTAAGGGAGTATCTTCTACTGAAAGCTGTCATATTATAATTTTTTACCCTACAAATTTCAATCCCATTCTACATGGTAATGAACTCTGTGTGTCTGAGAAACATGTAGTATTTGTGTGTGTATCTCTGTGTGTGTATATAAGAATACATACATTTCTGTGAATGTATAGAGAGGCTACACTGCACTTGTGCTGGGTGTTATTCATTCATTGATGGAACACCCAGTGATTGTAATGCTGTGAGCTGCATAGCTGCACCAAGGAATGATTGGGTATAACACCTAAACCACATTTTAATGTGTTTACAGCCTTGTCAAACCACTCTGGAATAAGGAATAAATGCGTTCAGTTTTTTTGCTTTGCAATCAGTGCTCCTTATTAAATACAGTTCTGTCACTGTAATGAAAGAAAGATTAAGTAAACCTGTAAGAGCTTATAAATTTAAGGGAACTAAGAATTGCCTGTTTTAATCTCATAACTTTGTATACTCTGTGGTTTTTAGTGTTTTACATTGGGTAGTTTTACTTGTTTCTTCTTTTTCTATTGTCTGATACAGATAACGGTCCTGGATGAGACATGGACAGTATTCAGGCGGTACAGTCGTTTTCGGGAAATGCATAAAACTTTGAAACTGAAGTACCCAGAGGTAAGTTTTGGTAAAACTTCTGCAGAAAAGGGTGGAGGTAGAGACTTGGAAAATAAGTTTTTTGAAAGATGTTTACTCAAAACCATTTTTTCTCTCAGCCGTATGCTTCTAGTAAGATTGGCAAGCCCTTCAGCAGTTTAAAGCTCCAAGGCTGCTAGATACAGGATGGATGTTTCATGCTGTTGCTACAGTGAAACTGCGACTCCATGTGTTGCCTCTAGCCATTAATTCCCTTTACTGCTGACTGGTGGCGTTCCCTGGAGGTTGCTGTTTTGTTCGTTGCAAGATACTTGCAGTCAGATCATGTCATCCTGACAACTCCTCATTTAAAAGAAGAGTGTTGTTCCACAGGTACCCTTTTGTAATAGTGGCTTCCAGGTTTCCGCAAAATGGAAAATTGATCTTTCTGACCACCTCAGAGACTCTGGGCATTCAGGATATGAGGAGCTGTGCCTGACAGAGCTTTAGCTCATTGGAGTGAGCATTTGTAGAATTACAGTTCTTGGTTTCTGCATCTAACTTTTCATTATTAACATTTTGCTTCCTTTCTACTTGTTCCCTTGAATATTAGAAGAAATCAATCACTCAAGCAACTGAAGTGATTCTGATTTGAGAGTTAGCACAAGTAAAAAGCCCTGGGCCATGTATTCGTGGGCAATATATTAAAAAACTTTAATATGTTCAAGAAAGAGAGAGATACAGTAGTGTGCAAATGCTTTCATTGATGTATTCTTTAAGCTAAAAATTAATTGAGCATGGAAAGACCTTGAGTTCTAAAGAGTAAAATATGTAGATCTGTGTTTTGTTGGAGGTTCTGGGACTTAAGACCCATTCCAAGACAGTATGAAAACCAGAAATTGAAACTACCACACACCAAATATCTAATGAAAAGCTTAAAAAAAAAAAAAAAGGAGAAAAGAAAATTAGGTCATCTTTTCTGATTGTCAACAAATTTTAAAAGGTAAAAATGAGTTTTGGATGGAAAATTGAAATGTTCTCTTTTGATAAATGCTTTTAAAAATATTACTTGTGAATGAACATCAGTATCATATTTTTGATTCAAATGAATTGCCTTTTCCTCTTGGATGTTAGAGTTATAGTCTGTCGACAGTAATATCCTAATTGCATCTGTCTCTTGAAAAAGGAGCTAGGCAGTCATCCAGTTGAAATAAAAAAAGGCCACCTGAATCCCTCTGCAGACTGATCTTCCCCATTTAGGAAAATGTGTTTGAGTGGCCTTTTTCAGAGTCTGTTATTAGTCCTGACAGTACATGGAGGAACAATTGAATTTGGCTTTTACCGTTATGTCAGAGGGAGAGCAGCTTCTTTGTAGTACGTAGTAATCAGGTTCAGGGGGAATCTGATGTTCTTAAAGCCATTATTAAAATGTCCTGTGTGCTGCAGCATATTAATGTCACTTTTTTGCATCAAGCATTTGTGAATTACAGTACAAATTTGGGCTTTTTTGGTGTTACAGGAGGGAATGGGGTTTTTTTGTAGGTTTTTTTTTTTGTTTCCTTGTTTTGAAGAAACATTAGAACATAGGAGTGGTATTACTAGGTCAAAATAAAGTCCATCATCCAAGAATATACAACTGAGAAAAAAATCCCAGCCTAGAGCAAAGGTACTCAGTTTTCTTCATCTTGGAGTCTTCCCAGCTGAATTTGTTTTTGTTGTAATTAATAGTTAATGATTAAAATTTTTCCTGTGGATTTTATCTGTATTTTCCATTCTTTACACCACTCACTTCGTAGGTATCTTATCTAGGCAATTTTCTTTTGCTGCTTGTTTTTTTAGCTTTTTTCCTCTGTTTGCAGTCGTGCTTGTAAGGTCAATACATTCTCTGGTGTAATGTGCCAGTTTGTTTCTTACTGACGCTTCTGTGTTGCCGTATGTCTGTGTCTTAGGTAAACTTATTGCGATTCACATCTAGTACATTAATGGAATTATTGGTTTAACTACACAGATGAATAAATTTCTAGTTTCCACGTAATAAAACATACTATAATGTGTTTCCTAAGTTGTCTGTTCCCTTCTCAACAATTTTGGTAAGTTGGGGCAAATACCACGTCTTACAAGTTTGCCAATATAACTTTCCCTAAAATACGATACTCTTTGGAGGAGCATAGTAGTGTGTTTTGGCTTCTAATACACTTAAAAGAAATGTTTAGTCATGTTACTTTCTGAAACAATAGATCTATAGCTTTCATAGTATCTTCTCCCAGCCTTTATCGAGCCTCCACTTCACAACAACCTTCAATAAATTATCAGTGAGGTTCAAGTATGCGCATCTTTAATAAGTACAAAGCACACAAAAGTTCAGGATAAGCAAGATAAGCATTCGATCACGTCATCTACTGCTTTTAGATAGGTACTGTCACTTAAGTACCTGTTTTGGAAACCCTTGTAGCACTGATGTTGTCTTCTCTATTTTATATAGTACAGGCTGTTGTGTTGTGTCCACTCCTGCTTTGAGGCTTAGGGCACCCCAAGGAAATGGCAAGTTTGTAGGTGGAAGAAACCTAGCTAATACGCAGTTCGTTTCTTCTACTCGTCAGCATTTCTACAAACTACTGTGTCCTTGTTTATCAGAGGGGAAGAGCACATTGTGATGGATGAAACACATAATATCGTGCGCAGTAGTAAATATTTGGTGTTTGTTTTCTTTGGAAGAATTTCATTATCAATGTTACACGTGCGAATGATTGATGGCTTCCCATATTTTACCTTTGTTTAAAATAGCCTTAATTTATGGTAATTTTGGATTAGTTTTGCAACGTGAGTAGGAGTTCAGTTTGTTTGGTAAACTGAAAATCATCTGTCTGCTTCTGCTCATCTGTCATTGACCTAATTTGGGATTCACCATGATGCTAAAATGCATTTTAATGCCAAACTTGGCAAAGTTGCGTCCTTAATTACTGTATATTATTCAAAAGAGACTTGATCCTTAAAAGCAGTGTTACCAGAATCCATCAGAGTTGAATTTTATTTTACATAGTTCACCTTCCAACTCTAAATTAATATTTATAATGAACAGCGAAAATACTGTGGACGTGTTTAATGTATGAGTGTCCTGCTTTTAGAAGTGAACTTTACAGCTCATTAGTTGCTCAGCTCTGAGTTACTACATCAGTATTTTAATAATTTGCTGATCTTGCATTTCGTGTTGCTGCCACTGAATTGCCAAAGGAATGTATTGGCAAACTGATTTATTGGGAAGGTTTGGGGTGGTGGGCGGGGGGGAAGTATCTTTTTCAGAAGCAGAAACTATCTAATGTCTTCCAGTCTTACAATATGCCATATATTTTATATACCTGCACATTTCTTCTAATGTAATTAAGTGGCTGCTGACAACTGGGTATCTAATTGAAATGTGTCACATGCAAATTTTGAAAGAGTGAAGAAGCTGCAGCAGGGTGAGATTGTGCTAGACACAGATAAGCACCAGCATTTTAACAGTGCCTGGGTTTCTTTAGGTCTTTCTGGTTGTCATTTGCCCAGCTTCAGCTTTCTTACACTGCTAGATTGTTAATGATTCTCTTATTATTTTTTGAATTTTAATTAAGACCATACTTGGCTTTCAGTTGCAGTAGTCTCTAATGAATATACTTCTTGTTTGTCATTAGTCAGAAACAGGAGCAAATGGACTCTTTAATAGAGAGGTGAGAATGTTCAGAGAAAGAGTCGCCTTTTTTTTTTTCCCTCCTTCAACTTTTCCTATGAGTTCATGGTTTTGAAATATTACCGGGGTGCTGGTTTCTGCAGCAAACCTTCCCTTCCTGACCCCATCTTGCTGTGAGGGAAAACTCTCTCTCCCATCTCTGTTAGTTCAGCAAGTTTGAGTGATGCACGGTTGTAATGGCCAGTGCCCTCCTCTTCTTATCACTATCTTGTATCTTCCCTCTTTCAAAACAGAGCAGAGGAACAGTTGTCTATTTGTCTTGCGCCTACCTGAATCCAAAGTTTATGAAGTCCCTCATCCATGTGGATGTCCTTAATTCCTGCTTGCATCCAGGTATCCAGGCCAGGTTTTGTGGGGCTTTCACTGTTTCACTCTGGCTCTGCTTATGGAATTGCCCGTCAATCTTTTTGAGACGTCTTTCCATGTGTGTAAGAACCTCAACATGGTATTAAGGGAAGCACCTACTATTGAGGCATTTTTATTACTAATAGTCATTCTCGACTTAAGGTATTAGTGAATTCATAGGGAGCTGCCAAAGAGAAGCTAAAAGGTGTGTTTGCATTTATAGGTTCATTCATGGAGATAAGGACATATGTGTGTAGGCAAGATTTCTGCAGGAGTGCTAAAGCTATCAACTTCTAGCTTATTTAACAGAATATAATAATTTGTGTGTTTGAATTAGGTATATGGTTCTGTATATAAATATATATTTGTATCTTTCACAGTCTAAAGCACAAAAGGACTGTTTATAATTATTAAAGAATTTTAGCTCGTAATTGAGCCAGCTTCCCCTTCCGCTGGTCTGTTTTTTGTCGTCTTACATGACTGAGTGGATGCATAATATCTATATCTGAAACAGCAGGAACATCTACGTAAACTTAAACCTTCAAGCCAAAGTTACCAGGTGATCTGCCTTCACTCCCATCTGCTATTCCCACCGGGGAAATGAGTGTGCACGATAGATTGCAGCAACACATCAATATGAACCTTTGGGGTTAGGATTAGAGGCTGTTGCTTGGAGGACAGGGTTATTCAGGTACATTAAGTATTGAACAGTAAAGATTGTATTTTTATAGCTGTTAGGAAAAAATGCTGTCTGGTTTCCTTTTGTGGTTTTGTTTGCTTTTTTGTTTTGGGTTTTTTTTTTTGTGTGTGTGTCTGGTGTTCTGGAGGAAAGGCTCTTGGCAGTGTCAATAAGAGTCATATATTCCTCCTTTTTATTTCTGAAAATAATATCCTATGCGTATCAGAAATCTTTGTTCGACAGAATATCATTCTGTTTGAGTGAACTCGAGGCTCTTGTCAACTGAAGGGGTTA